ATTCATAACCCTAATTCTCCTACTAGTATTTTGGCTTCTAAATCTCCATATTCTTGGAATCACTTTATTTACAGAAATCTAAACCCCTAAGCCTGTGATGTCTTTAATTGCTTATCCACATTTTTTCTGAATTTTCACTTCTTTGCTATTTCCCCCAGCCAAATCAATCTGTTTACCATCCTCTAATTTAAGTACCTGAGGGACGATAGGAAATAGGTTTCTTTTTAAATATATAGTGTCAATTCTCAAGGTTATAGAATTTAAATATAGAAAGAACATGCCTTGGCCGGGTGGCTCAGTTGGTTGGAGTGTTGCCCCACACACCACAAGATTGCAGGTTCGATTCCCAATCAGGGCATATACCTAAGTCCTAAAGAACCTTTCATAGTGATTCATTCTTCTATTTCCCCTTTGTTCTCCCTTGGCTCACTGTGAACACAAGCACTATTCTGCAATGGTCATTTAATAAATACTGCTACTACACTTCTAAGACAAGGCAGATAGATTTATAGTAGTGATTCTTACTGGAGGCATTTTTTAAAAAATTTTTATGAAGTGAATATGCAGCTTGTTTTTAAATTTTTCAATTATAGCCAACATTCAGTATTATATTCATTTCAGGTGCACAGTCTAGAGGTTAGACATTAATATAACTTATGAATCCCCCTGATTGATAAATCTAGTATCTGCCTGTCACCATATATAGTTAACACAATATTATTGACTACATTCCCTATGCTGCCCTTGTGACTGTTTTGTGACTACAAATTTGTACTTCTTAATCCCTTCATTTTTTTCATCACCCAATTCCCCTCTCACCTGGCAACTATCAGTCTGTTCTCACTTGGAGGCAATTTTGCCCTCCAAATGTCGAGAGACATTTATGGTTGCCACAATCAATCCGGGGAGATGTTCCTGGCATCTAGTGTGTACAGACCAGGAGAGCTGCTAAACACCATAGAAAGCACACAGAACAGCTCTTGACACATAACTGTCCAACTCCAAATATCAACAGGGCTGAGATTGAGAAACCTGATCTCTAATTAATTTGTATCCACAGGGGGCAGCTATGGGGATCAAGAGTGGGGGCTCGCCAAAACCGGTTTGGCTCAGTGGATAGAGCGTCAGCCTGCGGACTGAAGGGTCCCAGGTTCGATTCCGGTCAGGGGCATGTACCTGGGTTGCGGGCACATCCCCAGTAGGAGATGTGCTGGAGGCAGCTGATCGATGTTTCTCTCTCGTCGATGTTTCTAACTCTCTATCTCTCTCCCTTCCTCTCTGTAAAAAATCAATAAAATATATTAAAAAAAAAAAAAGAGTGGGGGCTCACCCTGGCTGTATGGCTTAAGTTTGTTGGAGCAATGTCCTAAAGCACCAGGGTTGCAGGTTCGATCTCCAGTCAGGACACATAAGAATCAACCAATGAATGCTATATAAATAAGTGGAATAACAAATGCATCGCTCTCTCTCTTAAAAAAAAAATCAATAAATAAATTTTCAAAAAAATTGTTTTATAGAGTCCAGGCTCAATGTTAGCTATAAACTATATATTATCCCATTTACATCAATCAGAAAATGTAAATGTTGAATATATATAAACAGGACCATGAGTCAATGTGGCTTCATGTTATATTTGGATAAAGACTTCCCTATTTAGCAGCTTGACCACTTCAGTTAGAAAACCCAAGACTCTGCACTGGAGAAAAATCTGTCCTTCCTCAAAATAGTTTCTAAGATATCTAATCTACTTCCTTTTTGTTGTTGTTGTTAATCTTCACCTGAGGATATTTCCAGTAATTTTTTTTTTTGAGAGAGAGAGAGTGGGAGAGAGAGGGAAAGACAGAGAGAAACATCGATGTGAGAGAAACACAATCAATTGGTTGCCTCCTGCATGTTCCAGGGACCAGGACACTAATCTACTAGTACTTTCTAAGAGTAAACATGATCTATTTAAAGCACATACATCCAGCCAAAACCGGTTTGGCTCAGTGGATAGAGCGTCGGCCTGCGGACTGGGGGATCCCAGGTTCGATTCCGGTCAAGGGCATGTACCTGGGTTGCGGGCATATCCCCAGTGGGGTGTGTGCAGGAGGCAGCTGATCGATGTTTCTCTCTCATCAATGTTTCTAACTCTCTATCTCTCTCCCTTCCTCTCTGTAAAAAATCAATAAAATATATTTAAAAAAAAATAAAGCACATACATTCAGTTCTAACACTGCTGAAAAATATCCTCAATCTAAAAATACCTTGATTGTTAACCCCTCCAAATAGCCTATTATTATCCAAAAATCTTAATAGTTCTCTTTTGCCCTAGCCGGTTTGGCTGAATGGATAGAGTACCAGCCTGAGGACTGAAGGGCCCCTGGTTCAATTCGGATCAAGAGCAACTGCTTAGGGTGTGGGCTCAATCCCCAGTAGGGGGCGTGCAGGAGGCAGCCAATCAATGGTTCTCTCATCATTGATGTTACTATCTTTCTCTTTCTCTCCTTTCCTCTTTGAAATCAAGAAAATATATTAAAAAACATATATTAAAAAGTTCTTTTAACATAACATCTGATATGAATCTGAGTATATAACACTGAGTATAAATATTTCCTTTTCTAATTAATAAAATGGCTTATTGAAGCACTGCAATCTTCCATTTAAATTTATATCAAAAAGAAACCTTAAGGCTAGCATAAAAGCTTAAATTTTATGTTTCTGAATTAATTTTGAGACATAGCAAAAGCTCCATTATCCAGCAAAATTGCTGAATAACCAACCTTGATCTCAACCAATAACATACTTTCACCCAGTGTTTACTACCACAGTTCTCAACTAAGGAGAGTCTTGTCCACATAATTACAGTACACAGTTATTCAAAATTGATCAACTAATAGGTGAATACTATTTTAACCAATTTTAGGGAAATCAGATGTAATTATTCCCATGCATTAAATTTAACTGATAAAAAATTATCTCTAAATTTCTACTGCATTAAATGAGAAAATTATCTAAATTTAATTTAATAAAAGGGAAATCAATTGGTCATTAAACTTGAGTCTCTTATTCTTAAGGTTGTTTGTAAGAGCAGCTATAGTAACTTGGCTGGACACAGCTGCAGTAAATGTACTATACAAAGCTAAAAAAGCACAACGATAACCCCACAAAACTTTCCCAAATGTCAACAAAGCATCATCTTCCACTTATATTGCCAAAAGTAGTATAATTCTGTTTAATTTCCACCCCATATCCCCCAGTTTAATACCATACCAATAAAAGCCGGGAGAGCTGCTGCTACAGCAGTTTACTTGATCATGGACAGAAGCCAAAATTCTGGTGCAGGATTGAAGCACCCAAGCACCAGCTATCACAAAAACAGTGGTGACTAAGTAAAATACTGTTCTGTGGTGAAAACACGAAATTTACACACCCAATAACACTTCCTCTTCGTTAAAAACAAAACAAAAAGAAACAAAAAACCTTGAACAGGGGAGGTCTTCCAAATATAAATAAAATAAGATAAAAAATGCTACATACATGAGCTGACTGTATATGTAATTTTATATATCATTTAATCAACTCACCTATCACTCTTTTATACTGCTTCCTGACAAAGGTTTTTGGTTTTTTAATATAACCTCCATTTCGTTCTTTCAGATAAATATTAAACAGCATTCTTATCTGAGATTTTGAGTAGCATTTAACACTACTTTAATATTTTTTAAAGACTCAAGCAACTAGCAAAATATGACCTTGCAACTTACATTTTAAAATATTTGAGTTTACACTACCTCGCAAAATAAATTTTACTCTCTTTTTTTAGTCAAAGAAACTATTTCAATATGTGACCTTACTAGTTTACCAGCTTAGGGGACAAAAAGGAGATTTAAGCAAACCATGGTAGAAGAACATTTTAACTTAGAGCTAAATTAAAGATATCTTTAGCTAAAACATGTTTCTCTCGCCAAAAAGAACATCTCTCACTGTTTTCCTTTCCCCCCAATTTTTTTCCAAAGAAAAGGCTGTTTCCGATTCTCTTTGCTCTTTCCTAGACACCAACAGCTTTGAGTATCATAACTGGCTGTAAGAAAGGACT